TATGTGTGTGTGTGTGTGTGTGTTTATCTTCATTCATTCAGTAAGACAGTGGAACATTAATGAAACAGAAACCTGAAACCTACCTTTAATCAGAGCTCTGAGTTTCCTTCTTTGTTCCTGCACTTGATCAAACCTTTCTGATGCTCCTTCAGTCCAAACTTTCATCTCTTCTCTCAGAGCGTTTCCATGAGCTCCATCGACAGAGTAATGTCTGCCGCTGTTTGCTTTAATCATTGCATCAATCTTCTCAAAAAGCACCTGGACCTGAGCTTTGTCCTCTCTGTTACAGATGTTGAGAACATGTTTTCTGTTTCCACATTCTTGAAGAATCCACTGCAGTCTTGGGCTCTTTTTGATATTAGATTCTATGCTTTCATCACAACATGGATCAACTGCAGTGAACATCACAATGGTGTGACTGAACACATCTGGACTGAAAAGTTCCAGGTGTTCCTTCAATGATGATTTGATTCTCTGAGATAAATGTAACTCGACAGGAAGGACCAGAAGAAAAGCATTGGGTCCTGGGGGACACAGATGGACACTTTTCTCGATTTCTATCTGATCTAGTTTTGGGGTGTTCTCTCGTGCATACGTCCACCACCTCCATCCTGGAGTATCGACTACTGTGACACGTCTGCCGAGTACATCCTGCTGCCTCGCTTCACTCTGAGCTGTTCTTCTGCTGATGTCAAAAACACTTTGACCCAGGATGATGTTTCCAGCTGAGCTTCTACCACTGGGTAATCCATTTAAATGTCTTCCTCCAATCAACACGATCCTCAAGTCTGGAAGGTGATCCTTTCGCACTGTCAGGAAAGAAAAAGCATAATTTAGATTACAAAAACATGGTGTCATATGTGAATAGGCAGAATTGGCTGACCTACTCTGCGTATACTTACATGACATGAAAGGTTCATGGAGTAAACAACCTGCGCCTCATAAATCTTTACACCGCCATCTACTGTGCAACTGCTTGCTTGTGTAATTTAGATTTCATATTAAATATAATAATGAAGGTTCTTGTAATTTTGAATGATAAAAATGAATAAAGTACTGCTTGGAAAAACATTATATGTTGACCATTAATAAACTAATTGTTTAACACGTGAGGTAATAATTGCTGTACGAGTTTAGTGATTGTATCCAAACACATGGAAATCATGGCATCTGTTTGTCCCATCAAGGGTCAGTTAGAAACAGGATGAGCTAAACTTCATTGATTATGGTAAATTTAAGAAAGGTTTAAAAATGTCACTCACCTGAGTTTGAAACATCAGGCACTTCCTCTGCACTCAGATGATTACCATTTAACTAACTGTGAGACAGTGTGCACCAAGCGGCCAAACTTTAAGTCACTTTTAAGGGGGTGCATATTTATGCAGTCACATGTACTTATATATTTGGTATTTCATGATGTCGTACTCTGGTTACAAACTTCAAGCTTCAGGCGTACGTTATAAGACGATTAAGGTCAGAAATAACAGGGTCAAAGAAACTTACAACCCACTTTTTAAATGCTGCAAACTGTGAATAAAGGAGTACAGAAACTCAGGGATTGGTGTACAGTACACTGGACTTACTGATACCTGTTCTGATATAAAACTTTTATAACTTGCAAATTCAAAATAAAAAAAATATATATATTTTATGACTGGATAGAACAATTTTGTTCCATCAGTTACAGCAATAAAGTGATTCTGATTCTTCTGTATTAGAAATATGAGTTCACTCTGTTAAAGAAGACTTTTTATGTTTCTTTTGTTAAAGAGAGATCCTATTGATGATTGGTTTATGATAGCAGCAAAAGAATTAAACATCCAAGGTAGTGAAAGTAGATGTTTCTACTGAACTGTAAAAAAAAAAAAAAAAAAATCAATTAAATTCAACAAGGTTTAGTCAGGTCATCAGGACGGTTTCATTTTTGTTGCGACGTTTCGTCCTTCATCCAAGGACTTCATCAATCCGAGAAGACTATAGGCCTGTCACGATAACAAATTTTGCTCGGCGATTAACTGTCTCAGAAATGATTGTGATAAACCAGAATATTGTTTGAAATTTAACAATAATTAATTGTCAAATTTTAGAAGAAATGATTTGTTTGTCGTGTAGTACCTTTTTTGACCACCTGATGGCAGTATACGACTAGT